GCCTGCACCTGCTGTCCTTTCAAATTCAAATCGAAATGTTTCAGTTGGGCAGTTAGGTTCTTGCAAGATCCCCCACCAACTAAGGAGGTTCCTCGATGAATCCCACCTCCTATGGGGTTCTTGGAAGAACCTTTTGAGGGCCATTTTCAGTGCCAAGAACCCGAAGGTTCTTCAAAGAACTTTGAGGCCTCCTGTAGCTCAGTTGGTAGAGCATGGCGCTTGCAACGCCAGGGTTGTGGGTTCGTTTCCCACGGGGGGCCAGTATGAAAAATGTATGCACTCACTAACTGTAAGTCGCTCTGGATAAGAGCGTCTGCTAAATGACGTAAATGTAGAAGAACCCTTGTTGAACCCCTCATTTTAGAGTGTATAGCCTATGCATGGGCGGAGAAGCACGCGGCAGTTATCTTTCCAAGGAAATGTACTTCCTAAATACAGTGAGGGAAAAAAGTATTTGATCCCCTGCTGATTTTGTACGTTTGCCCACTGACAAAGAAATGATCAATCTATAATTTTAATGGTAGGTTTATTTGAACAGTGAGAGACAGAATAACAACAACAAAATCCGGAAAAACGGATGTCAAAAATGTTATAAATTGATTTGCATTTTAATGAGGGAAATAAGTATTTGACCCGCTCTCAATCAGAAAGATTTCTGGCTCCCAGGTGTCTTTTATACAGGTATCGAGCTGAGATTAGGAGCACACTCTTAAAGGGAGTGCTCCTAATCTCAGCTTGTTACCTGTAAAAAAGACACCTGTCCACAGAAGCAATCAATCAATCAGATTCCAAACTCTCCACCATGGCCAAGACCAAAGAGCTCTCCAAGGATGTCAGGGACAAGATTGTAGACCTACACAAGGCTGGAATGGGCTACAAGACCATCGCCAAGCAGCTTGGTGAGAAGGTGACAACAATTGGTGTGATTATTCGCAAATGGAAGAAACACAAAATAACTGTCAATCACCCTCGGCCTTGGGCTCCATGCAAGATCTCACCTCTTGGAGTTGCAATGATCATGAGAACGGTGAGGAATCAGCCCAGAACTACACGGGAGGATCTTGTCAATGATCTCAAGGCAGCTGGGACCATAGTCACCAAGAAAACAATTGATAACACACTATGCCGTGAAGGACTGAAATCCTGCAGCGCCCGCAAGGTCCCCCTGCTCAAGAAAGCACATATACAGGCCCGTCTGAAGTTTGCCAATGAACATCTGAATGATTCAGAGGAGAACTGGGTGAAAGTGTTGTGGTCAGATGAGACCAAAATCGAGCTCTTTGGCATCAACTCAACTCGCCGTGTTTGGAGGAGGAGCAATGCTGCCTATGACCCCAAGAACACCATCCCCACCGTCAAACATGGAGGTGGAAACATTATGCTTTGGGGGTGTTTTTCTGCTAAGGGGACAGGACAACTTCACCGCATCAAAGGGACGATGGACGGGGCCATGTACCATCAAATCTTGGGTGAGAACCTCCTTCCCTCAGCCAGGGCATTGAAAATGGGTCGTGGATGGGTATTTCAGCATGACAATGACCCAAAACACACGGCCAAGGCAACAAAGGAGTGGCTCAAGAAGAAGCACATTAAGGTCCTGGAGTGGCCTAGCCAGTCTCCAGACCTTAATCCCATAGAAAATCTGTGGAGGGAGCTGAAGGTTCGAGTTGCCAAACTTTAGCCTCGAAACCTTAATGATTTGAAGAAGATCTGCAAAGAGGAGTGGGACAAAATCCCTCCTGAGATGTGTGCAAACCTGGTGGCCAACTACAAGAAACGTCTGACCTCTGTGATTGCCAACAAGGGTTTTGCCACCAAGTACTAAGTCATGTTTTGCAGAGGGGTCAAATACTTATTTCCCTCATTAAAATGCAAATCAATTTATAACATGTTTGACATGCGTTTTTCTGGATGTTTGTTTTGTTATTCTGTCTCTCACTGTTCAAATAAACCTACCATTAAAATTATAGACTGATCATGTCTTTGTCAGTGGGCAAACGTACAAAATCAGCAGGGGATCAAATACTTTTTTCCCCTCACTGTAGGCCTATGATTAGGCTATAGTTTACTAAATTGCCTAGAAATAGGCCTAAATATTGATCACCCATATTTCTCCATCTGAAAATCATTAGCTCAAGAGAAAGTGCAAGTCTCTCCAACTCTGCTCTCTTCAAACTACATCTAGCATATTGGCTGATATAGCCCAATAACACAATATAAGGGCCATGAGAGAATCTCTAGTATATTTAACCTATTTCTTAGGTTATTTGCGCATTTTGATATTGCCTTTAGGACGCTAAATTGCTGGAACCATGGCTGGCACGTGAGCTGTGTCACATACGCCTAAAATAACAATGCGGGACTGCGGTTGGATTTGGGACCAGTTATTGCGGTAGCGGGTGGGAGTCGGACAGAAAGCCAGCAGATGTGGGCAGGAGCGGGATGATCGGTCCCACTCTGTGCACCGTGACAGTGAAGCCTGAAACATTAGGGCTGTTTATTACTGTGTCAGTGTGAAAAGTAGGGAATTAGCTAGGGAAACTGACAGATTAATAAAGTTACATTGCCATACTGACTAATAAAACTCTCTCTAACGGTACATCAACCAACGAAAGCTAGCCAAGTTCATTTACTTGTGAAACGGGACAAATCAAAGGCAACAAAACATTTCCATACAAACAACAGCTGTTAGATAACGATATGAGGTGGCTATTATTACTATATGACAGATAACTAGAGGCTAGAGCTGACCTTGCGCTGTGGTTGCTACTACTTGCTAGCGTAGCTTATTCATTCACCTCAGTCATTCACCTCAGTCGAGAGGGGAGGAAACATTAGCTAACGTTACTGTACATGACAGTTACAATACTAGCTCAGCACAACCACTAGTTTCGTTTTTTTCTGTTAAATTAAACAGCAGCTACATCAGTCAACTATAGAGTAGCCAGTTTCTGCTCTGCTTGCTTTTAAAACTCTGTGAAAGAGCGCAACACATACACACTGAACTATGCTCAACTTCCTTGCTAGTCCAGCCAGCCTTCCAGAAGCTTTGCCTTCACACAACCTGTCAGCCCGCTCTGAGGTGTCTGAGCAGTCCTAAATCCAGCTGACTGAACACTCCAAGCAGCCTACCCGACCACTCGGAGGCATTTGCATGGTCCTAAAGCACTCCGTCGCCGAATTTTGTATCACATTGCAATGATAAAACTGGGGGGGGGGGGACATGACCCAGTGAAAGTTGTGCCCCTGGCTACTTCACTCCAATAAAAAGGTTGGATGGAAACCTGTTCATTCAGTTTGCTTGAACGTTTGCTACGTTGCAGAACGGTTTGTACTGAACGACACGTTTCCCCAATACTTTCTTGAACAAACTTTTGAGGTATGTTTGCTATCGTTTGGTAGGTGTGTCGAGGTGTGGCTTTAAGCAATGAGTGACGTGGTTAAAGGGCAGTGGCCATGCTGACAGCGTTCCCCAACCCCTCCCCGTTTTCAACTGGTCGTTCAGTTTGTGTTGCGAAATCGTGTTTTTACGGTCTGATTCTGTTTCAAAGAGCACCAAAAACCTACACTAACCATGAGCCTCACTGTCGGTATTGTCCAATCACAGAGCAGATACAAGTCACGTGACTTGTATCTTCTCTGTAATTGGACGATACAGACCGCAATATTGTATGGGATGAGTAGTTTGTTTGCCCCCTAATTCTGGTATGTACACAGTCTTGTACCTTTGCCTTTTAAAAAAAACATATCACCGTTTTTTAAAGCGATTTCTCATATTTTGAATTAATGGTTCGCCCCGGAGATTTTTTGTAGCTATTCAACGTTTGGAACCACGATAACCAGCATGTTGTTGAAATTTGTTTGCTAAAAATTAGTAGCCTTGTCAGTTCCTGGAGCCACAACGGCAGAAAGAAGGTCATGGCTAGAAAGGGTTCAGCTTTTGTAAAATTAACGTTGATTGGACTTTTCGTAGCAGATTAGGAGACTTTACGCAGCAGGTTAGGATAATTAGGTTAGGGTTATGAAAAGAGTTAGGGTTAGGTAAAATGCAAAACATTTAAACTTTTGACGATAATTTGACAAAAGCTGGATCCCTTCTAGCCATGACCTGAAAGGGGCGCGGCCCTATGCGCTTTCGGTAGAGGTGTGTTCGTAAATTCACTCTGGAGTGCCAGAGTACGGTCTGGGCGTTCGCAAATTCAGAGCGTTTCGCGCTCGGAGCGCACACTAGACGCTCTGGCGGAGGAGTAGGGTTGATCCCAGCGTTCTGACCTCACAACGGCAGTCAAGCACCCAAGCTAATTGGCTAAAGTTGGCTAGCTACTTCAGACACAAACGAGAGAACACCTCACTCTGACCATTTTACTCGCATTAGCAGAGCTGGTAGGCTGTTTTCTTGTGACTGTAAATGTGCTGCTGGCAACAATTACATTACGTTTTTTTTTGCTGACGTTTACTGACACCGGTCATATTCAATGGGTACTCTTATCTCCCTCACTAACTTTAAGCATCAGTTGTCAGAGCACCTTACCGATCACTGCACCTGTACACAGCCCATCTGAAATTAGCCCACCCAACTACCTCCTCCCCATATTGTTATTTATTTTGCTCATTTGCACCCCTGTATCTCTATTTGCACATCATCTCTTGCACATCTATCATTTCAGTGTTAATACTAAATTGTAATTATTTTGCACTATGGCCTATTTATTGCCTTACCTCCATAACTTGCTACATTTGCACACACTGTATATATATTTTCTGTTGTATTTTTGACTTTGTTTTGTTTTACCCCATATGTAACTCTGTGTTGTTGTTGTTTTTATCGCACTGCTTTGCTTTATCTTGGCCAGGTCGCAGTTGTAAATGAGAGCTTGTTCTCAACTGGCTTACCTGGTTAAATAAAGGTTAAATAAAAAAATATTGCGCTTTCGTAAATTCATCAGTGAAATCGGAGTAGATGGCCAGAGTGAATTTACGAACGAACCCTTCATTTTATAGACGATGACGTTGACCATGTGATCAGATAACCAAGATGGCGTCGGGGCAACAGTGGGTGTTAGTGGAGATGGTACAAGCACTCTACGAGGTAATTTGTCTTTATTTATATACTTTCTCTTTAAAGTTGTAGATTTATTCTGTTCCGTTACAACATACTGTCTCGTATGTTGTTTGTGTATTAAACTGCGTAAAAAGAGAGAAACGATAGAAAACTCCTGTTCAGGAAGTGTAGTTCATATTGTTACCAGACATGATTGACAATATTTTAGCCAATAGTCTTTCGTGTCAGGGGTGCGTCGCGTTCGATTTTGTAGTATGGGCCAATCTTAGTGAAATATTTTCAGCAAAGGCGTTTCAAGAGATACATATGAAGTGAGCTGTGATGATTTTATAACACAACTAACCACTACATACATTTTCCATTATCTTTTAATTTCGAAACGCACGTATTTCGTTTTTTTTTCACCTGTTCCATGTCGAGGACATATTTTGATATTTTGATCGTTTTGGGGTTGAGTTTGTTCCAAATTCATTGATCACCATAGAACTTATGTTCTGTTCGAAGGTAAAACAGCCAAATATTTAATGTAAATGTGAATCGATTCTCAGTTGCGGTACGGTTCTAGAAACATAAATCCCTCTACTTTCATGTCACATCTAAATAATTTAACAAATGCTAAATACACACATACTGTACACCGTTTTAACAGTTGCAGCCGAGTATTTTTCAGTGACAATACGTTTGTCGCGTCTGTCTTCCGTTCACACACAGGTGTTCGGAGATGCAGATAGCTAATTAGCACAGGTAGTCTTCCATCTGTTTTCTGTAAACAAGCGCTGTAACATGACAATATGGCTGTGTGGGAACCCCAACCCTAAAAAGGTGTGTATCAATTTAAAAATTATTTCTCACTGATTTGAAAGAGAAGATCCTAATGCTCCAAAACCGTACCACAAGCAATGCGTGTTAATGTTCAAACCGAGTGTTGGGGCTCTTTAAAAAAAACTCCCTCGTACAGACTCTTATGTGTAATGTAATGGAACTGAGAGTCATGATCAAGGGCTGATCTAACAGGTATAGTAGGCAGCTGTGCTTGTCATTTGTTGGAACATGTCAGCATTGCTCTTAGTTAAAATGGAAAGACAATATACCTATTACTGCTGCTCTTTAATTATTTGTTACTTTTTTTCTTTTTTTTTTCTTTTTTATTATTTCTTAAAATTGCATTGTTGGTTAAGGGCTTGTAAGTAAGCATTTCACTGTAAGGTCTACACCTGTTGTATTCGGCGCATGTGACAAATAACATTTGATTTGATAAGAGTTGAGTTCAACTTTGCAAGTAAAATGAGTTGGGGCACATTTACTTGAGAGTAGTACACTTGTCAACCACTGCTTTACATGGTTTGGGAGAGGAGAAGAGGGATGGGAGGGTGGATTCATTTCTAAGATACTGTAATGATCCTAGCATTGATGAGCACGATTACCGCTCTCCCATGGGAGCTAGCCTAGTTGTCTTGGAGCAGCCGGACCATGTCCAGCTCTGGAACCAAAGATATCAATTCACCCCTTGATTCATGAGACGGTAGCATGAGGTTTAGAGTTGTGAATTGCAGGCAAAGCCATTTCCTATTAGGCTACCTTTTAGCCTACACGTCACAAGGCTAGGTCTACATTAACAACTAAGGAGTAAGGTTTTTAAATGACAGAAGATCCCTGATCTGTATGACAATGACCCTGGCGTTAATAAGCACGATTTATATTGTGATAATCAAGGGTGGTTGGTTCAATTCACACCTCGATTCAGAAGCACAATGAGGAATGAATTGAACCGATTAGGGTCGGCTCCAGAGACGGAAATGCTCCAAGAAAGCAAAGTCCCTTGGGGAGCAGTAATCGTTTTCATCACTATGGTGTTTAACACAAACTAAATAAATTGTTTGGAAATAATACTATTTAAAAATTATAAAATACCCTACCTGCTCAAACCTACTATGCAAGGGAGTTTTGCAATGGACCCAGAATTGACCTATGTCTCTCCTCAGGCACCTGCCTACCATCTGGTCCTGGAGGGGATCCTCATATTGTGGATCATCAGACTCCTGTTTTCAAAGACGTACAAACTACAGGAGCGTTCAGACCTCACGGAGAAGGTAGAGGGAAATGGTTTCACCCCACCTGGGAGTGCATAGGACACTCTGGGTGGAAATTCTGTGTGGAACTATTTCTGGCACAATGTGTTAACTCCATAGTGTTTGTCTATAACAGGAAAAGGAGGACTTGATCGAAGAATGGCAACCAGAACCCCTTGTCCCTCCTATGTCCAAAGACCATCCTTCCCTCAATTATGACATAGTCACTGGGTAAGCTAATTATGCTTTCTTGACTGTTTCTGAAGTGCAGTGAAAGATCTCACAGCCTTTACTGCAACATCTTTCCAAGTAGGCTAATCTAGCCGATTTTTGCTTTACGCAGTACAGTCAAATAAATACCTGGGTCATGTTCAGTAGGGCACACCGTAGCAAAAACTACAAAATGTGGTCTTGTTGTACAAGTTAATGTTTTACATGATTTCAAAACAGTTTAAGCTGTTTTCTGCCTACTGAACGGTACCCAGGTCTAGCGGTCTACCTCACTTCTCTGAGATTGCATTCTAGCATAAAGTGAACCTTGTGTTGTTTTTAGCTAATAGCAGGGTGTTTTATTTTACAGCCCGCCAAGCCACAAAATCATTGTAAATGGAAAAGAGTGCATTAACTTTGCTTCATTTAACTTCTTGGGTCTCCTTGACAACGAGCGAGTGAAGGTCGGTACTATTTTAAGTAGAAGCACGCCTTTTTGTTTGTTTTCTAAGCTATTAGCCATTTTGATACAATTCAATTTTGTTTAAATGTTGGCACAGTACAATGCTAAGGACATGAGCTAAATACTTTTGTGGAGAAAAATTGAAACAAAAACAATCATTCAGTAATCATGGCTGTTTCTCAACCTGTTTAGGTTACTGTACCCCAAATTACATTTTACTCTGCCTGCCTCGGTTCAACCGGTCGGGACTATTATTCATTTGACCGTTAGGCCTATGTTTTTACACGACAAATGATGAAATATCCCATGTTCCGATATGAATGATCCATATGCCAAACACCTCAATGGGTACTAGTACCCTATGTTGACAACCACTGGTGTGTCTCTTGGGCTTAACCTATAGACAGGTTGGTTGTTTAGCAACATAACCGACACATGCGCAACTATGGGCCAAAACAGACGGTTGGTTTATATTGTTGACAACGTGTAAACTATATTTATTCTCCTGTCCAATGTTTATTGAAAACATAAATGAATTTGCACAATGAGCACTTGTTGTCTCTCAAATACATCGTTAAAGTTGTTGGTTAGCTAGCTAGCAAATTTTAGCCATATTAGCATTGACATGAAATCAGTCAAAACACCTCAAAACAAGACATTGTATCAAGACCAAGAAACTAGCTGAAATGAGTTACTTATGATTCCCCACATGACAGTTTCTTGTCATTGTTGGTAGCTATCTGGCCATCCAGAATCACAACAACTCACAGACTTCTGCCCCATTTGAAGCGTGCATCACCACACATGCCTATAGCAGCAATGCATATGTGTAGAAGGACAAAAGCATTTAAATGAATATAAATAGCTCTATTTCCCCTTCTTCTCTGACAGCAAAAGGCCTTGACTTCTCTCAGGAGGTATGGTGTTGGTACCTGTGGTCCAAGAGGGTTCTATGGAACCTTTGGTGAGTTGCTCTAAAGAAAAGCCATGCTCTGAGAATGGCGCCGGAGGAGATGGCTGCCGTTTTACGGGCTCCTAACCAATTGTGCTATTTTGTGTTTTTTTCGCGTTGTTTGTAACTTATTTTGTACATAATGTTTCTGCCACTGTCTCTTATGACCGAAAAGAGATTCTGGATATCAGAAGAGCGATCACTCACCTCGAACTGGACAAAGATTTTTTTCTTTATCAAGTCGGACGCAAAGGATTTACGATACAGGGGACGCAGGTCCGGTTGCCTTGCTAGAATTCGTTGGCGAGTGGGTAACCCGCCTCTACCATCTGTCCTATTGGCCAATATGCAATAATTGGAGAATAAACTGGATGAGCTCCGTTCAAGACTATCCTACCAACGGGACAATAGAAACTGTAATATCTTAGGTTTCACTGAGTCGTGGCTGAACGACGATATGGATAATATACAGTTGAATGGTTTTTCCGTGCATCGGCAAGACAACAGCTGCCTCCGGTAAGACAAGGGGTGGCGCTCTGTGTTTTTTTTGTCAATAACAGCTGGTGTGCGAAATCGAATACTAAGGAAGTCTCGAGGTTTTGCTCGCCTGAGGTAGAGTGTATCATGATAAGCTGTAGACCACACTATTTACCAAGAGTTTTCATAGCTTCATTTCATAGCTGTCTATTTACCACCACAAACCGATAACCGATGCAGGCACTAAGACCGCACTCAACGAGCTATATAAAGCCATAAGCAAAAAGAAAATGCTCATCCAGAGGCGGCACTCCTAGTGGCCGGGGACTTTAATGCAGGGAAACTTAAATCAGTTTGACCTCATTTCTACCAGTATGTTATAATTCTATCCTCCTGATTCCTGCTTACAAGCAAAAACCTAAGCAGGAAGTACCAGTGACTCGCTCAATACGGAAGTGGCCAGATGACGCAGATGCTAAGCTACAGGACTGTTTTGCTAGCACAGACTGGAATATGTTCCGGGACTCATCCGATGGCATTGAGGAGTATACCACCTCAGTCACCGGCTTCATCAATAAGTGCATCGATGACGTCGTCCCCACAGTGACCGTACGTACATACCAGAAGCCATGGGATTACAGGCAACATCTGCACTGAGCTAAAGGGTAGAGCTGCCGCTTTCAAGGAGCGGGACTCTAACCCGGACGCTTATAAGAAATCCCGCTATGCCCTCAGACAAACAGGCAAAGTGTAAATACAGGACTAAGATTGAATCCTACTACCCCGGCTCCGACGCTCGTCTGATGTGGCAGTGTTTGCAAACTATTATGGACTACAAAGGGAAGCCCAGCCGTGAGCTGCCCAGTGACACAAGCCTACCAGACGAGCTAAACGACTTCTATGCGTGCTTCAAGGCAAGCAACACTGAAGCATGCATGAGAGCACCAGCTGTTCCGGATGACTATGTGATCACGCTCTCCATAGCCGATGTGAGTAAGACCTTTTAAGCAGGTCAACATTCACAAGGCTGCAGGGCCATTCGGATTACCAGGACGTGTGTACTCCTAGCATGCGCTGACCAAGTGTCTTCACTGACATTTTCAACCTGTTCCCTGGCCGAGTCTGTAATACCTACATGTTTCAAGCAGACCACCATAGTCCCTGGGCCCCAGAACACCAAGGTAACCTGCCTAAATGACTACCGACCCGTAGCACTCACGTGTGTAGCCATGAAGTGCTTTGAAAGGCTGGTCATGGCTCACATCAACACCATCATCCCGGAAACCCTAGACCCACTCCAATTTGCATACCGCCTCAACAGATCCACAAATGACTCAATCTCTATTGCACTCAACACTGCGTTTTTCCCCACCTGGACAAAAGGAACACCTACGTGAGAATGCTATTCATTGACTACAGCTCAGCGTTCAACACCATAGTTCCCGCAAAGCTCATCATTAAGCTAAGGACCCTGGGACTAAACACCTCCCTCTGCAATTGGATCCTGGACTTCCTGACGGGCCGCCCCCAGGTGGTAAGGTTAGGCAACAACACATCTGCCACGCTGATCCTCAACACGGGGGCCCCTCAGGGGTGCGTGCTCAGTCCCCTCCTGTACTCCCTGTTCACCCATGACTGCGTGACCAAGCACGACTCCAACACCATCATCAAGTTTGTTGATGACACAACAGTGGTAGGCCTGATCACCGACAACAATGAGACAATCTATAGGGAGGAGGTTAGAGACCTGGCAGTGTGGTGCCGGGATAACAACCTCTCCCTCAACGTGACCAAGACAAAGGAGATGATCGTGGACTACAGGAAAAGGAGGACCGAGCACGCCCCCATTCTCATCGACGGGGCTGTAGTGGAGCAGGTTGAGAGCTTCAAGTTCCTTGGTGTCCACATCAGCAGCAAACTATCATGGTCCAAACACATTGGCATTGGTCCTCAGATCCTCAAAAAGTTATACAGCTGCACCATCAAGAGCATCCTGACTGATTGCATCACCGCCTGGTATCGCAACTGCTCGGCCTCCGACCGTAAGGCAATACAGAGCGTAGTGCGTATGGCCCAGTACATCACTGGGGCCAAGCGTCCAGCCATCCAGGACCTCTATAACAGGCAGTGTCAGAGGAAGGCCCTGAGAATTGCCAAAGACTCCAGCCACCCTAGTCATAGACTGTTCTCTCTGCTACCGCACGGCAAGCGGTACCGGAGCGCTAAGTCTAGGTCCAAAAGGCTTCTTAACAGCATCTACCCCCAAGCCATAAGACTGCTGAACAGATAATCAAATGACTACCCTGGACTATTTGCATAGTTTTTTTTTTTACACTGCTGTTTATCTATTGTGGTAAACCATGGGGTGTTTGGTTGAGCGTGCAGAGATGGACACAGAGAACACGACTTTACTAGGCAACGAAAATAAAGTTAACAAAATAATTCAGGGTTGGCTCTGTACTTCTTCTCATACTCGGCTCTGTGCCTCCGGGAGCTTCGTTCCCCTTCGTAGGCTCACTCCTTGCCTCTCTCTTTGTCCTCTTCGTGGAGTGCCACGGTGCTCCCTTTATGTGGCCTGCACGGCTGACTGGCACTCTCCCTTAATTACCTCTACTTGGCCCATCAGCGTCAGGGTGCCCAGCCCGTGTACTCGCAGCAGAGGGAGACAACGTCGCAGCACATACCTCCCCTCTATCACCAACCCCTGGGGATACCACACTATGCATAGTCACTTTACCCCTACCAACATGTACATATTACCTCAATTACATTTTACATTTTAGTCATTTAGTAGACTAAAGTTAGTGAGTGCATACATTTTCATACTGGCCCCCCGTGGGAAACAAACCCACAACCCTGGCGTTGCAAGTGCCAATGCTCTACCAACTGAGCTACAGTGGACTACCTCAACTAACCTGTGCCCCTGCACATTGACTCGGTACCGGTACCCCCTGTATATAGCCTCGTTATTGTTGTTTTATTGTTGCTCTTTAATTTTTTACTTTAATTTATTTAGTAAATATTTTTCTTAACTGCATTGTTGGTTAAGGGCTCGTAAGGAAGCCATTTCACGGTAAGGTCTACACCTGTTGTATTCGGCGCATGTGACAAATCAAATTTTATTTGCACCACAGTTCAGTTATCCTCTGAGTATTTCAGATCAACATGTATCAACATGTTCAAATGTAGACCGAAGGGTTCTCAGTCTGAACTTGTACGTACATGTCAGTGTCCTTTTTTATTTTGTTTTGTTCCATTTGTCTCCATAACTCTGATGTTTTTCGGATCCTTCCAGATGTCCACTTGGAGTTAGAGGATCGTTTGGCCAAGTTCATGAAAACAGAGGAGGCCATTATCTATTCCTATGGCTTTGCAACGATAGCTAGTGCAATACCTGCCTACTCCAAGAGAGGAGACATAGTGTTTGTGTAAGTGTTTCTCTCACATCCCCATTTGGTTCAACAAGCCAACTAGTCCTACTTGAATTTATTCTCCAACAAGCATTTTGTATCATATTTATTTTGATCTTTCCAGGGATGAGGCGGCATGTTTCTCCATACAAAAGGGTCTCCAAGCCTCCCGCAGTTTCATCAAGTACTTCAAACACAACGACATGGAGGATCTGGAGAGACTGCTCAAAGAACAGGAGATCGAGGATCAGAGGGTTAGTCAAAGCAGGCCTGCTGCCATTTTGTCAACACCATCCACTTGACCAATCTCTACATCCTGATTCTCCACGCTTTTTCTAAAGTGTGCACTTACATACTCAGTGGGAGTATCTCAATTGCATTTACTTGCGTCCTCTCTCCCCACCTCCTTCTCAAAATCCAGGGGAGTGATCTCTGACCTCATCCATTGTGTTTTGAGAAGGAAGCATGGAGAGAGGATGCGGGGAATCAAGGAAATGCCATTGAGATTCTCCCACTGGCATGGATTTAAAAGTATAGGAAAGGTGTACGTTTTTGCTGAGGGGAGTTTCCACCATTGTTAAATTCATGACGGGAAGTGCACACTTCAGAAGAAGGGTGGAGCATTGGGACGTAGACTCTTGTTGCGTCCCAATAATGTCTCCTTCTTACTGAAGCTTGCGCTTGTTCACTAGTTCCCCACATTTAAAAGCATTGGATTGGTGTAGGTATATACCAGTCATTTCCTTTCAAATCCATGAAGGAAAAGCGAACAAGTGCACTCTTTGGGGAGCGAGATTATTGGGACGCAACGTATGTGTGATGGCTGCCACCATTTTGTTTCAACACCATCCAGTTGACCTGTATGTGTGTGGAGGCCATTTTGAAAGTCACACTTATCAAACCTATCTTGTTTTCTGCTGTAGAATCCTCGGAAGGCCCGAGTGACCAGAAGGTTCATCGTAGTGGAAGGGCTGTATATAAACACTGCAGATGTTTGTCCCCTTCCAGACCTGGTGAGATACCCAATATGGTTCCATTATATCCCAAGATAGTTTACCTTTTTTACTGTTGAGTTGTGCAAATCAATTCTTGATTCCCGTAGATAGAGCCATGTGTGTCATGTGGTACTTTGTAACAATGGTACTTAATTCATGGTTCATGTTATACAGTATTTTGATCAAAGTGTCAACTGCAGCTGTGTCAATGAGCGCTACCCCCTTTTTTCACTTTGAGTCCATGGGACAGGTTTCTAGCACGTTACAACAGAACATAGTGTTTGGTATGTTCCACCTTCATCTCATATTTCTATTGGCCACCAGGTGAAGCTGAAGTACAAGTACAAGGTCCGCATCTTCCTGGAGGAGAGCATGTCATTCGGAGTGTTGGGAGAACACGGCCGAGGGGTCACGGAACACTTTGGGGTCAACGTGAGTAGTACGCCACCCAACCCCATATGATGGATTAATCTGGGTCATGTTCAGTAGGCACCAAACGGAAGACAACTGACGGAAACAGGGAGGGACTACCTGGTCAATTAGAAACGCTTACTTCCATGTTCTGTTGCAAAATGTTTTTTTAAAGTATTTGATTTGGTGCCCTAGTGAACTGTGTGGTGCATCTCACTACCCTCCCTTTGGTTCCTGTTTGTCATTTTCAGATTGACGATATTGACCTTATTAGTGCCAACATGGAGAACGCTGTGGCTTCCATAGGCGGCTTCTGCTGTGGAAGGTCGTTCGTCATAGATCATCAGGTATTGATAATGGTCTTTTTACAAGTTGGAGTGAAGTGCTTCCCAGTCCTAGTCTTGGAAACTGGTTTTGTCCCCAAACTGTCTGTTGTTATTTTCAAAGGACACACACTTGGAACACTTCCCATAAGCAGGTTACTTACACGTGTGTAATATATATATATATACACACACACACGTGTGTAACATGTACAGCTCTGCTTTGAAGGAGGAAAACATATATATGTTTGTATACAGTACGTGCGCTGTACATGTATGACTGTTAGTGTCCTCATGATGGCTTTGGCTATCTGTGTCGGAAAATTGACTTTTGAATACTGACTGCTTTGATATGGTTGTTTTATGAAACGGACAAGTCATAGTATAGGAGAAGTATTTCAGGCACACTTGATTCCGCTTAAATTATTCCGTTAGTTCCGGGCAAACAAGATAATTTGCAGCATAGATCATTTGTGTTTGTCAGCATCTGTCAGGCCAGGGATGCTGTTTCTCTGTGTCTGTCAGGCCAGGGATACTGTTTCTCTGTGTCTGTCAGTGTCTTTCAGGCCAGGGATACTGTTTCTCTGTGTCTTTCAGGCCAGGGATACTGTTTCTCTGTGTCTGCCAGTGTCTTTCAGGCTAGGGATACTGTTTCTCTGTGTCTGTCAGTGTCTTTCAGGCCAGGGATACTGTTTCTCTGTGTCTGTCAGTGTCTTTCAGGCCAGGGATACTGTTTCTCTGTGTCTTTCAGGCCAGGGATACTGTTTCTCTGTGTCTGTCAGGCTAGGGATACTGTTTCTCTGTGTCTGTCCAGTTGTCTTTCAGGCCAGGGATACTGTTTTCTCTGTGTCTGTCAGTGTCTTTCAGGCCAGGGATACTGTTTCTCTGTGTCTGTCAGTGTCTTTCAGGCCAGGGATACTGTTTTCTCTGTGTCTGTCAGGGTTGTCTTTCAGGCCAGGGATACTGTTTCTCTGTGTCTTTCAGGCCAGGGATACTGTTTCTCTGTGTCTGCCAGTGTCTTTCAGGCTAGGGATACTGTTTCTCTGTGTCTGTCAGTGTCTTTCAGGCCAGGGATACTGTTTCTCTGTGTCTGCCAGTGTCTTTCAGGCCAGGGATACTGTTTCTCTGTGTCTGCCAGTGTCTTTCAGGCTAGGGATACTGTTTCTGTGTGTTTCTCAGCGTTTGTCAGGCCAGGGATACTGTTTCTCTGCCTCCCTGCCCCCCATGCTGGCTGCTGCCGCCATAGAGGCCCTCAACATCATGGAGGAAGACCCAGGTAGATGACACACACATTCACTCGCAACAGGGATTCTTCCAAACACACACACACACGCACGCACCATATCTTACACTTACAACAATTATTTGCCCCCTGATATTCATGTCTGTCAACTAATTAGTTTACTACATCCTTATTAAATGACTCCAGACATTCTTTGACTATCCCCTGATTGAATTGGCAGCGCTTCAGTGAAACACCATGTGATCAATTTGAGTTTCTGATCCAAACCACATGCACTGTTCACAACCTGGACGGCTTTTGCTCTCCTCCAATAAAGAGGTTTCTAGGAATGGCAGTCCAATTTCTAAGTGTGTATGTGCGTGTGTCCAGTGTGAGTTATTGTCAGTGTTTTGTGTTATTAGGTGTGATTGGTGCTTGAACAGTACATTTGTGTGTGTGTGTGTGTGTGTGTGAATGCTAAGTATGCTTGCGTGCGTGTGTGCACTCACGCGTCTTACAGCGTGAGATGAGCTGAGGTCGAGTGCACTTAGCACTGCCGAGCAGACCCCGGTCTCACTCCGTGTTGAAAAGGCGCCAGCCACACACTGGCCAAGGTAAACTAATTACTGTACGACAGCTGGAACTTGGCTCGCCTGGTGCCTCAATCTGAGAATGAAAAATACCCTGGATGCTGAACCTTTCACTCCTCTTGTGTTGTAGACATTTTTACCATCCTGAGGGAGAAGTGCAAATGCGTCCACAAAGCGTTGCAAGAGTAAGTTAAGTTGATTTTTGTCCTGGGAAAGGAATTGTGATTATGCATGGTCCTGTGAACTTTCCATTGAATGATAAGATCCAGGCCTTCTTAATACATATTTTTTGATTTAGTTTGATATTATAACATGATATACGATTAGCGGCGGTTGTACAGGTTTTTTTTTTTTTTTTGTGTGAATTTTGTTATCATATTCTGAGAATATACATCAATGTATTTTTTTTTTTTGTTGAAACTTTGCTGTTTCTAGTAATTTGGTGAAAATATATGATACAACATTGATTAGTAAGAAATTGTTGCTGTTGTGCACACATCATTGGTATCAAACAGTTCCTTTCAATGAAGATGGATTGGCCTCCGTAAATACATTGTAGAGCAGCTGTGAAGTAAGTGGGGTCCCTTTTTGCCGAACACAGTTTCTTGCAGCCTGTGGCCTAGCAGTCAGGTTGTTCCCATTATATTAACACTGGTCGTTACGGTTGAGTGGGGGGGGGGGGGAAGAGTGAAAACAATACATTGAAACCAAACTCAAGAAAACACTGAATATAGGCACGGTATGGGAGTAGTTAAAGCAAGACGCAGACATTTTTGGTAGTTTATTACACTTTTTAACAATGAGATGTCCACACGCAACGCACTGCTCTCACAAAACCTTCCCTTTTTTACAGTCTTTGCTCAACCTTGGTGCGGGATCCTGTGGTTATCCATATGTGTTTTTTTTTTTTACACATTTTGAAATCCTATACACCAAACCAATAACAGCAGTCTCTCGCATGTCTCTCTGTTTTCCATGGATTCTCCTCTGTCCCTGCGAAGGGTCCCATGGTTTCTGCTTAGCGTCTCTTCCTCTCGTCTGGCAATAGGATATCTCATAGGAGACGACCTCCTAGTTTTGGGGCTCACGCGTCTCTCGTATCCAGATCCACCCTGCTTATATTGGCTGTCCCTATACCGTAGCTAGGCTATACATCAGAGCACAAAATCAGTCTTGTTCCATGGGGATGTAGTGAGTATTTAATATCTGACACAATGTACTGGGAAGTTAATATAGGGGTCAATGTGATTGCACCGTTGGAACACTTCCAAATAGGATTTACCCCAGTGTTTCCATCTACGCGGGCCGGCACCCATGTCTCACTGGGCCATGGCTCCGGCGGATCTGCTCTCACTTGGGGCCAAAGCCAGGCCACTGGTACTTTTCAGCTGTCATTTACATAACAATGGCTAACTGTGAACTTTAACACCTTCTCACAAAGCAACTGTTTTAATTATACAGAGGTTGTTGATTCTGCTCACCACAAGTCCTCACTGTCAGCCCTAGATATGGAAACACCATGTCCCCAGTATAACATCAGCCCTAGATATGGAAACACCATGTCCCTAGTATAACATCAGCCCTAGATATGGAAACACCATGTCCCCAGTATAACATCAGCCCTAGATATGGAAACACCATGTCCCCAGTATAACATCAGCCCTAGATATGGAAACACCATGTCCATATCAGCCCTAGATATGGAAACACCATGTCCCCAGTATAACATCAGCCCTAGATATGGAAACACCATGTCCCCAGTATAACATCAGCCCTAGCTATGGAAACACCATGTCCCCAGTATAACATCAGCCCTAGATATGGAAACACCATGTCCCCAGTATAACATCAGCCCTAGATATGGAAACACCATGTCCCCAGTATAACATCAGCCCTAGATATGGAAACACCATGTCCCTAGTATAACATCAGCCCTAGATATGGAAACACCATGTCCCCAGTATAACATCAGCCCTAGATATGGAAACACCATGTCCCTAGTATAACATCAGCCCTAGATATGGAAACACCATGTCCCTAGTATAACATCAGCCCTAGATATAGAAACACCATGTCCCCAGTATAACATCAGCCCTAGATATGGAAACACCATGTCCCCAGTATAACATCAGCCCTAGATATGGAAACACCATGTCCCCAGTATAACATCAGCCCTAGATATGGAAACACCATGTCCCCAGTATAACATCAGCCCTAGATATGGAAACACCATGTCCCCAGTATAACATCAGCCCTAGATATGGAAACACCATGTCCCCAGTATAACATCAGCCCTAGATATGGAAACACCATGTCCCCAGTATAACATCAGCCCTAGATATGGAAACACCATGTCCCCAGTATAACATCAGCCCTAGATATGGAAACACCATGTCCCCAGTATAACATCAAGGTGGAACACTGGTGTTAATGTGGAAAAGCAGCACTAGAGAACCTCCTTTCCTTGTAAATAGCTTCCCAAAGCTGAAATCTGCAGCGACGCTAAATGGGAAGCATGTTCAGAGTTATGACCACAGGGTTGCTAAGAATTCTTCTTTTCCCAGAAGTATGTAGGGAGAAAGCACTTTAAATGCAATATGTGTTAGATATTGGGAAATTCGGTGTTGGTTTCTCAAGGGTTTGAAGACTCCAAAGTAAAAGTCCTTTCAAAGTTGTAGCATTTAACTGGAACCAAAGTGACCCTAAAGGGACTATTTAGCTTTTTTTTTCTCCTTTTTTTGAAATGTATGATTTGGTGAAAATTTTTTTTCCAATACAGACTCTTTATTCTGCTGTGAAATATGTATCTACACTATTCTCATGTACATGTGGTCTCTGCATTGCAGAAGTCCTGGGCTGAAGGTTGTAGGGGAGTCGTATGCCCCTGCTATTCACCTGCAGCTGGAGAGGAGCTCTGGATCCAGAGACACTGACGTGAGGATGCTTCGCAGCATCGTAGATTACGTAAGAGATCCACATTATGTATGAAATATTTAGAACCACTAGTGTCTTAATGATAAACAAATGGCTTTACTATGAGTTTCAATTTAAAAATGGTTCTTGAGTGTTGCTCATAAGTGAGTGTTACATTACATATGAAGGAAGTACTGTAGAGATGTGGATATCATGAGTTTTGTTTTTCATTGACCAGTGTTTGGAGAGACGGATCGCCCTCACCCTAGCTCGGTACTTGGATAAAGAGGAACGCTTTCTCCCTCCACCTTCGTAAGTTTTTCAAATGTATATAAACTCAGCAAAAAAAGAAACGTCCCCTCACTGTCAACTGCGTTTATTTTCAGCAAACTTAACATGTGTAAATATTTGTATGACCATAACAAGATTCAACAACTGAGACATAAACTGAAGAAGTTCCACAGACATGTGACTAACAGAAATTGAATAATGTGTCCCTGAACAAAGGGGGGGTCAAAATCAAGTACTGCAGTGCATCTCCTCATGGACTGCACCATATTTGCCAGTACTTGCTGTGAGATGTTACCCCACTCTTCCACCAAGGTACCTGCAAGTTCCCAGACATTTCTGGGGGGAATGGTCCTAGCCCTCACCCTCCGATCCAACAGGTCCCAGACGTGCTCAATGGGATTGAGATCCGGGCTCTTCGCTGGCCATGGCAGAACACTGACATTCCTGTCTTGCAGGAAATCACGCACAGAACGAGCAGTATGGCTGGTGGCATTGTCATGCTGGAGGGTCATGTCAGGATGAGCCTGCAGGAAGGGTACCACGAGGGAGGAGGATGTCTTCCCTGTAACGCACAGCGTTGAGATTGCCTGCAATGACAACAAGCCCGCTCCAGAGTACAGGCCTCGGTGTAACGCTCATTCCTTCGACGATAAACGTGAATCCGACCATCACCCCTGGTGAGACAAAGCCACGACTCGTCAGTGAAGAGCACTTTTTGCCAGTCCTGTCTGGTCCAGCGTTGGTGGGTTTGTGCCCATAGGCAACGTTGTTGCCGGTGATATCTGGTGAGGACCTGCCTTACAACAGGCCTACAAGCCCTCAGTCCAGCATCTATCAGCCTATTGCGGACAGTCTGAGCACTGATGGAGGGATTGTGCGTTCCTGGTGTAACTCGGGCAGTTGTTGCTGCCATCCTGTACCTGTCCCGCAGGTGTGATGTTCGGATGTACCGATCCTGTGCAGGTGTTGTTACACGTGGTCTGCCACTGCGAGGACGATCAGCTGTCCATCCTGTCTCCCTGTAGCGCTGTCTTGGGCGTCTCACAGTACGGACATTGCAATTTATTGCCCTGGCCACATCTGCAGTCCTCATGCCTCCTTGCAGCATGCCTAAGGCACATTCACGCAGATGAGCAGGGACCCTGGGCATCTTTCTTTTGGTGTTTTTCAGAGTCAGTAGAAAGGCCTCTTTAGTGTCCTAAGTTTTCATAACTTTGACCTTAATTGCCTACCGTCTGTAATCTGTTAGTGTCTTAACGACCGTTCCACAGGTGCATGTTCATTAATTGTTTATGGTTCATTGAACAAGCATGGGAAACAGTGTTTAAACCCTTTACAATGAAGATCTGTGAAGTTATTTGGATTTTTACGAATTATCTTTGAAAGACAGGGTCCTGAAAAGGGGACGTTTCTTTTTTTGCAGTTTTATATATTTTGTATATATTTTTTAATATATATATATATATATATATATATATGGTTATGTATGCAGTATTTTTTTATGACGTCATATCTATTGGAAGTTATCACAGCATTGAAAGATGACATTTGCCATGACACTGCTGAATGTGTTCTGACGGTCCAACTGTCTGCAGGATCCGGGTAGTGGTCACCATCGAGCAGACAGAAGAGGACATTGAGAAAGCTGCATCCTGCATCAGAGAAGCAGCTCTGGCTATCCTCAAATGATTCCTGGTTCCTGACCAACGAGACATGAAATTCTCCGTTCTCAGAGTTTGCCGACATTCCCAGGATTCAACTCCAGGCTTCGCAGAGCATCAATAGAGAGGGAAGTTGGAAAGGTCCGTCATGGCATAGCCAGGTGTGTTCCTCCACAAACTCGAGAAGACTCGATAGGTGGACAACACTCCGTGAGGAGCATTGTCGATTTTTTAAAAAATCAGATTATATCCTTTTTGCAGCTACTTATTTTATTGACCTCATTTGCTGGCGATCCTCATTCACCTTCTCACATCTAAATGAATGTAAAATGTGGGCCTCGTCACCCAACCGTCATTCAGTTCACTATCTGTTTGAATTAAGGTTGCAAGTCTTAACTAATAAACAATTAAATATTTGAAACCAAGAGCTGTATCATTTTGTAAGTTAAATTACTTTTTTTATATATATATATACGGTATTGTAACACCGTTTTTCTCTCTTTTGTTTTTGTTTTTCATATACTGACACAAACCAAATTGTGTATATTATGATTTTCCCGCTTTTGACCAAATGTTAGATTGTATTCCAAAAAGCGTTTCATATTATCGCACTGCGTTGTATGAAATGCACCTATTTATGTTATGTTTTGTCTTGTATACAAATTAATATTTTATTACAAGCGCTCACTGATTTTTAAGCCTTGCAAGATTGTTTCTCTTTCACATCTCACCAATCGCCCCACTTGCCATCATGGCTAGGTCAGCCTGCATTGACACCATGACGGTATGTATCATTGGGGATTTGGATTATTATGTTAAGTTAGGCTCTTTGAACGTATTACATATTTGTTCTGTTACTAATCATTAAGTAACTTTTCTCTGTGTTTTAAGTGTTAAAAATTATTTGCGGTTTGATTTGAACAGTTCATTTTCTTCATTAGATCACGAATGATTGTTACACAGGTGAAATTTGTATGCAAACCATTCTATGTAATTTGAGATAGTTTTAACATGCCAACTTGAATATAAATATTTGCACTGTATTTGCACTGTGATGCACATCAATCTCATTTTCACTTTGAAGCCTATTGTTGAGTAACATAATGACACTACTGAATAACAAGCTAGTGTCACCTTTTTGTACCACACACATACTCACTGGTTCATTTATACAAAATCCAATATGCAGTATATTATGTGCCTTTGTTGCTAACTGTGCTATCAATTTGAATGACTATTAATCAAATAAATGGGAAAATTGTGACTTAGTTCTGAGGCTATACAGTTTGTTTACGTTTACATTGTTTACAAACACTGGAGTAAAACAAGCTTATATTTTGGGTTCTGATGGGAAACGACAGTTGAATTAAAGTTCATGAGGATGTATACGTTATAGTCTTCAAGAATCAATGGGTATATGATTAATTTAAAAGTCCCAAAATGTATGTAGCGATGGCATATTTCGCCTTTAAGTGTTAGTAAAATCATTGTAAAAAAAAAAAACGTTCGTTGATGGAGGTATCGACCAATGATCCACAAAGTAGCCGTCTCAGAAACAACGTTGCACGTCAAGGTTTTTAACTTATAACACATTTCACACATAGATGGCGCAACTCCCACTAAATACAAACCCTCCCAGAGTTGCTTCACTCCTTGGGGGAGAGTTCCATGATACGTCATGTGTGAAGCAAGCTGGCGTTTTTAACTAGGATACTTCGGGCAACAGTTAAGGAAGGAATAGCGACTCTCGACGGTCTCCTGAATGCACTGGATGAAATTCGCCGTTATTTTTCAGAAAAACTAGCTACCATAAACAGAAGTTTCGTTTATTGCACACCGTAGTTTTTATCCCATTGAGTGCTGACTTACTACTTCAGTTTTTCCCCAGCCGAATTCAATCTCCAAATATAATAATTTAAATACCTGTAGTGCATATCGGATGAGACTTTCCTAGGTCAAGTTTCATAAAACTGCACGAGTCCACTTTGTGGAACCATGGCATGGATAAAGAGTGGTGTTTTGATCAAGTTCTTCAAAAGCTTCCTTCTTTTGGTTGTCTTGGCTCCAAGTTTGAGATACGCAGGTAAGTGCTCCTTGGAATTTGCAGTTATTTCTAACTTCGTGTTATAGGCTACTCTCTGACACATTTTATGTCCATCAGTTTCTGAAGTTTGAGCAAGAGTTTATAGTAGGATAGCACATTTTCACATACATAAATATGTTCTTCTTATTGTGCGTTGCATCGCAGGGATAGGTTCTAAAAGAGCTTATTGGAATCCTTCACTGGTTTATTTTTCCTATGATTCCTGTCAGACCATTTGCAGTTATTTTCTTGTCTGTGGGAGGTTTGGATTTGGTTCAACAAGCACGTCCATTGTTGTTGGGGCAGGATGCATTCAGGTTGTGATGATCAGACCTAGGTAATTTTAAATCACCCCTAGAAGGTCCTAGTGGAACAAGAGAGGGCGTTTTCCCGTTAGGTCCTCTCATTCAAGATAAAGAATAGAGTGCACTGTATCGGACAAGTTTAAAATGTAGCTATCTTGTTCCTGTTTTTGATTTGTATGATCTGAAATGTTGTAGGCCTACAGACTGACCTGAGGAGGATGTTTAGTGCCCATGACACTGAATGTGTCCATCTTATGATATCCAGTATCCATCTCCCATAAAGCCAAGGAATACTAGGCATAGGCTAGGGTTGGTGAAGGTGTTAATCAGATGCCTATTTGAAAGTGATCTCTTGTCTTTGTCAGTCTTGCTAATTCATTTAGGCCCTTGGTGGGAGGTGACAGATGTTGGGGTTTCCTGTTTTCAGCCTGGGTCCCCAGGTCCTGCCATTTGGTATCAGGTCAAGGGGGGTAGGACAGAGATTTAGGACCATGTAGGTCTACCTTGCATCTCTAGGTCCTTGCAATAACATATAAAATAACCTAAATGACTACCTTTTAGTATAATTAAATTGGTCAATGAATGGGGAAAAATGCTATAGGCCTCTTGGATTGAAAGAAAAAAAGTTGTGTAACTGATGGAACTCTCATGGAATTACTTTCAATTGCAGTGGAATTTTTACGACAAATCAAGCTAAAGGTTTCGCTCTTTCCACCCGGGGTGGTTAATTAGTTTTTACAATATCCGTAACTTATAGGATACTGGTCATGCAGGCTTTTTTTTTTTTTTTTATGGCTGGCGCAACAGTTTCTCATCCAGGGGTTTGGGTATAAATAGAATAGAAGTGCCTGTTGATGGGGGCAGCAGGGCTTGGCCTGGGGAGGTATGTGAAGGGGGTGAGAGGGGGTAGGGGGTATCTACAGGAGGCTCACCTCTTTTTTCCCCCTCACTCACATCCCATCAAAAGGTGTTGGGGGATATTCAAGCAGGCCATTGACATGGTAATTGTTTCAATTGCTAATAACCGTCCCTTGAACCTACAGGCCTATAGTCTTTACAGTGGAACCAAGGAGCATTTTTCCTCTAAAGAGGAGTTGATTTTTAGAATGCGAATGTGTTGAGGCTGTCATTTAGCCTTGAGTTGATGTCTATCCCCTTCAACTGGAATGATTATGCATATATTGTGTTTGAAATGCACCTTTTGGATGACTTTTCTTGAGAATACATTATTTACATTAAAGGCTTTATGGGTGGCCTCCTTGTATGTTCAGGCCATGGCAATATCCAGGTATGTCAGCTTGGTGGTAACTGGTCCCCTTTATTGACTTCTAAAACAACTTCTTGTTCATGCATCTTTCTTTTTTCTTCTTTTCTTTCTTTTTTTTTTACATCACAAGCGAAACCATAACATACATTTTCCAGTGTTTCTCCCTCCAGTGCCCAACCTTAATGCAGTTCGAAACTTGTTAGTAACAGCAGGTCAAAATGATTGACGTCTGGCCCTTTTCTGTGCAGAGTAAACCGACCATGCTTTCTGTTCAGAGTAAACCGACCATGCTTGGCGTTGCAACGAGGTGCCCTCTAATTTACTGATTTTTAATTAGATTAAAAGCATAATAAACACATCTGTCATGGTAGGGTGGATCACTTATATGTGGTTTGTAATACCAAACAATAGCTTTTACTATGATCACAACACACAACCGGTGATGCCATTAACAGAAGTGACTCACGTGGTGCCTTTTTATTGAGGGAACTATTGTAAGTAGTCGCAGGGCAGGGGACTGGCAGAAGAAAAGTTACAGAAAGGGCAGGTTTGTCTTATTGCTTTCTCTTTTTACTGCCTCCACTATCAACTCTCCCAACCCTCTCCCTTTCCTCCCCCGCAGCTGAGCTGTGAAGTGAGGTGAGAGGTAGTGGGACTGGACGTGGTCGAGGAGTTAGCCAGAGTTCAGCCAGCTAATCTAGTGTTAACCCAGGCCGCGGGTGGAAATCTTCAAAGCCGCTCCCCGCTCCAGGTTTCCCCGCATCTCAACAACAGTTTTGATCCCCCCTTCTTCATGATTCATCATATTTGAGCCATGCCAATAGCATAGCTAGCAAAATTCAATTTAGGCAAGCTTACATTTGTTTTTCCTCTAGTACATTACAATTTGGCATAGTTAGGCCTACCTTTGTAGGCTTGGCAGCTCTCCTAATTGGCATAGTCTAGATTTGGATATTTATATAAATGTTAATCTCACTGACTAACTCAACACATGACGGGGTTTCATATCAAAGTGCCCATAGGGAGTAGTCCAGTGTGCAGAGAAATTGTCTCCTTTGTTCTGAAATTACCAGTGACAACTGGTGACAACTGTGAAGAAACTGACATGATAGTTGATGTGTTGATGTACACAGCACTCCCCTCTAGCAGAACAGGAGCGAGGAGAAAGATTGGATAAGATATCGACTCATCTCTAAATGTGTTCAGTGTATTATTTGGCTGTGAATTTCAATGAAACATTGAAATGCTATGTTTCACTGCGACTGAGCAGCTGTCACACGAAACCCATGCAGATGTGCGTGAACGATGACATGCAATGTCAGAATAGAGAACACAATATCAGAATAAAGAACACATTGTGCGTTCTCAGAGGTTGTGATCAGTGGTTCCAAATCTATTTGCTCCGGTTTTTTCCATAAATGCTCATCCCGAATAATAAAAAATCCAAACACAGAAACCTCAAGACTGATCAAGTACGGAACTTTAACTGACCTATTCTTAAAGTCTTAGAATATGAGTGCTTTTCTAGGATCAGTTTAGCCTTTTATATCATAGTGAATAAGATTTACATGGACAGGGAGACCTGATCCTAGATCAGTACTCCTGGTCTGAGACTCTTTATGAAGAGTCTCCCGAGTGGCGCAGTGGTCTAAGGCACTGTATTGCAGTGCTAGTTGTGCCACTAGAGATCCTGGTTCGAATCCAGGCTCTGTCGTAGCCGGCCGCGACCGGGAGACCCATGGGGCGGTGCACAATTGGCCCAGCGTCGTCCAGGATAGGGGAGGGAATGGCCGGCAGGGATGTAGCTCAGTTGGTTGAGCATGGCGTTTGCAACGCCAGGGTTGTGGGTTCAATACCCACGGGGGGCCAGTAAAAAAAATAAATATATATATATATATATATATATATATAAAAAAAGAATAATGTATGCACTCACTAACTGTAAGTCGCTCTGGATAAGAGCGTCTGCTAAATGACTAAAATGTAAATACGGGCACAGTCGACGCATCCCAGGTGGATTAATTACCCAGAGAAAGCCATGCTGGTTCGTCGAAAAGCGACTCTTCTCAGGCATACCTGAAGTTGTGGGAGAAGAGCTCCATTTGTAATCAAGGGGCCTTGGCTGGAAATGAGATCTCAGCATCACGTCATTAGATAATCTGACACATGTGGAGAGCGCTGAGAGATGCCAGGATGGGGAGAAGAGACACTGAATAGAGAGGGCTGATCTGCCTCCTGTGAGTGCAGGTGGAGCTTTAAGTCCTGCTATTAGAAGACACATATGTAGGATCCCAACTAGCCTTTCTTGCTAGGCTTCTAGTCATGCTAGCCACTAGGAAACAATAGGAAGTCTAACCCCGTCTATTGTCCAACCCCTGAAACACAGTTAGGTGTTGTCCATGAGATTTCAATTTTAATCGGTTTTGATATCAAATGAATTTAAAGGCATGCTAGTCTGTAGGGCCGGGATGATACCGGTATCGCGATACTCGTTAGTATCGTGGCAAGGAAACAAAACACGAAGTGGATTTAACAGCCCTAATGTTGGAAACAAACATCATTCTGTTGTCATCCAGAGTCACATTTATGTATTTTCCCAGCTATACAGTGGCTTGCGAAAG